GACTTTTTTCCTTCCTTTGACGATTTCCCCCTCGTCGGCCCAACTCCTACTAATCATTGCTCTTAGTCTTGTGTATCTAGTTTTTATAAGCATACGCAGCAAATGAGTATAATGATTTACTATCTCTTTTTTTTTTTTTAAGGCAAAAACCTTGTGTGCTATACATACTGTTAACAGATAACAGTCTGTTTTCAGCATTCCATAAAGTCCATTTTCACTGATGCCCCAGGGTAGTGTACCATTATATGGATATTTGGGTTTACATAATTTGTTAATTGTATACAAAGTAGTAAATTCAAGTGTGCACACAGATAAGTATCAGGTAAGAATTGTTTAGGGCTGAGTAAGGATTTATGCATTTTAATTTTAGTAGATTTTACTCCTATACAAGAGTGTCCATTTCTCCATGAGCTCCCTTAAAAAACGTCATCAGACTCAGGGCTTTGACAGTAGATGAGTGGAAGATGGCCCTGGTGGGTTTTTGAAGTTGCTTTTGTTGACCGTTTACATTAGGTGAGAGAATTTTGTGTGTGTTTGTGCGGCATCTGTGCAGTTGGGTAAGCATCACCACCACGAAAGTTCCCTCATGCCCGTAACGTCCGCTCCCACTCCAGGCAGTCCCCGATCGAACTTCTGTTCCTATAGTTTCACTTTTTCAGAATGTCCCACAGTATGCTGCTTAGCATAATCCTGAGATTTGTTCATATCCATGGCTCAGTAGCTCTTGTCCGTTGCTCCAGTAGATCCTTATATCACTGTCCTAAAGTTCACCCAGTGAAAGACATCTGGGTTGTTCAGGATTCCTGGAGATAATGAATAAAGCCACTAACAACATTCACATACAGGTTTTTGTGTGGGTACGTTTTCATTTCTGGTGGGTGAAAACGCAGGATTCCTGGGTTATATGGTCAGTGCATGTGCAACTTTGTAAGAAACTGGCAGACTTTCCCACTTTGTGTTCCACCCGCAACATGTGACAGTTCCAGTTATTCCACTTCTCAGCACTTGGTATTTACGATTTTCCATAATTGAGATATAATTGAATACCGTCAGTGGGTGTACAGTTCAGGGGTGTAACGTAATGATCACTACCATAAGTCTAGTTAACATCCGTCACCATGTGTAGTTAGAAAATCTCGTGACAGCTTATAAAATCTGGCAACTTTCAAATGATACAGTATTAACAGTAGTCCCCATGCTGTATGTTACATCCCCATCCCCATGATTGTCTTAATTCTAGTCTCACCATTAGGTATATAGCATGTGCTCTGATACATTTTTGAAACAAATCCAAACATGCCACTTCTGGCTATGGTCTCTTTAGTGGTTCTTTTTCACTTCCAAAATCATTTTGGCCACAAGGCCCTTGGGCCCATTTCTTAAGCCTACTCTTCCTCTCTGCCCTTCAGACACCAATTAGGGAGTAGATACCCAAGGTTACGCCACTTGTGTCTGACCTGGTTACCTTACAACCCTCATCAAGTTCAATGTTTATGATGACTTGAACAGAACTCAAACACCTGATTGCATTTGTTACTGAAAAGGATACAACTCAAAAGAGCCAAATGGAAGAGCTCTATAGCACAAAGGTAAGGATAGTGGGGGAAGCATGGATTTTGCATGTCCTCTCCAGGCAAGGCTCTCTCCCAGCACCTCTTCACCAACCCGGAAGCCCAACAAACCTTGTTCCTCAAGTTTTTTGTTTTGTTTTTTTCCCCCAAGAGTTTTTGCAGAGCTTAATCTCCAGCTTCTTCTCCACCCCAATCCCAGGCCCACCACCCTGCCCTTCCTTGCCTTAAGTCTAGGGAGGGCTGAAAGTTCCGACCCTATAATCAGTTGGACTTTCTGGTGACCAGCGCCATCTTGAGGCTGGGGTCCTATCTTAAGTCACTGCATTACCATAAACTCAGTTACGATCTAAAGGAGCTTCTTAACAGTAACAAAAGATACCCCTATCACTGGGGAAATTCCATGGGTTTTAGGAGCTCTGCCAGGAACCAGGGACAAAGACCAAATATATATATATATTTTTTAATGCTTTATTTATTCATAGAGACAGAGGCAGAGGGAGAAGCAGGTTCCCCGCCGAGCAGGGAGCCCGATGCGGGACTCGATCCCAGGACCCTGCGATCATGACCTGAGCCGAAGGCAGACGCTCAAACATCTGAGCCACCCAGGTGCCCCCAAATGTATTTTTGTGTTACATCACATTTCCCATCTCAAGATCTTTAGCTTAATCACACGGGCCAAATTCCTTTTGCCATATGAAGTAACATACACCACGAGTTAGGGATTAGAGCATGGACATAAATTGGGACCATTATTCAGCCTGTGGCACCTCCCAAGCTGTCGTGACCAGGGTCTAGGGCCTGATTCCCAACTAGAGACTAACAAGTGTTGAACAGAGCTCCGTGTACTCTGCCATGGGCAGTTCAAAAAAAACCCTCAAGTACAAAATACATGTGAGGAAAGGCAACAATGTTCTGAATTTCCCCATACATTATGGAAGTATAAGATTGGAATTTCTTTGGGAAAAGGGTGTGGGATAATTCATTCAAAAGATATCCATCAAGTGCAGGTCAACTGGAAACAGTGTAGAGGTTAATGCTAGAGCTTTGGGAATCGAAAAGACTTGGATTTGAATCCTGGCTTTGCTGCTTATTCATTTACCTTTCAGATAATCAATATAATGATAGGAAATGCTACGATTCTGAGTATGTGCTAAGCAGTTAAAGTATATACTTTTTTCTGTATAATTGTTTTACTCTGATAAAATATAACAATATGTACTATTTTAAACCTTTTTAAGTGTGTAGTTCCTTTTGAGCAACCATTACCACCATCCATCTCCAGAACTTTTTTGTCATTCCGAACTGAAACCCTGTACCCTTTAATGGCTGACTCCCTATTCCGCCTCTGCCCTAGCCTCTGGTATTCTATTCTACTTGGTCTCTAGAATTGGACTATTTTATTTTTTTAAAGATTTTATTTATTTAGTTGACAGAGAGAGACACGGTGAGAAAGGGAACACAAGCAGGGGAAGTGGGAGAGGGAGAAGCAGGCTTCCCGCTGAGCAGGGAGCCTGATGTGGGACTCGATCCCAGGACCCTGAGATCATGACCCGAGCCGAAGGCAGACGCTTAACGACTGAGCCACCCAGGCACCCCTAGAATTGGATTATTTTATGTACCTCACATACAGTATTTCTATCTGGCTTATTTCACTTTGCATGATGTCTTCAAAGTTCATCCATGTTGTATCATGTGTCAGTACTTTACTCCTTTTTATGGCTGAATCATATTCCATTGCTTGGATATATTACATTTTGTTAACTCATTCACCCATGGATGCAGGTTTGGGTTGTTTAACCCTTTTGGCAACCGTGAATAAAGCTGCTGTGAACATTGATACACAGATATTTATTCAGGTCCCTGCTTTCAATTATGTTTGGTATATTAGAAGTGGAATTGCTTGGGGGTGCCTGGCTGGCTCAATTGGTAGAGCATGCAACCCTTGATCTTGGGGTTGTGAATTCAAGCCCCGCTTTGGGTGTAGAGATTACTTAAAATTTTTTTTAAAAAGAGTACCTTGAGGGACACCTGGGTGGCTCAGTCGTTAAGCGTCTGCCTTCGGCTCAGGTCTTGATCCCATGGTCCTGGGATCGAGCCCCGCATCGGGCTCCCTGCTCGGCAGGAAGCCTGCTTCTCCCTCTCCCACTCCCCCTGCTTGTATTCCCTCTCTCACTGTGTCTCTCTCTGTCAAATAAATAAATGAAATCTTAATAAATAAATAAATAAATAAATAAATAAATAAAAGAGTACCTTGAGAGCTTGTTTGGCGGTTCTAGCTGGGTAGCGCAGCTACTCGTATACCCTTGACCAAAGAACGGCCCTCCTCTATCGGGGAAGGCCGTCCTCTTCGACCGAGCGCGCAGCTTCGGGAGGGACGCACATGGAGCAGTGAGGGAGGAAGGGGACACCCGCCTAGCCAGCCAGATACCTTAAGAGCCTCTGTAAGCCGGCTACTGGCAAGTGATAGCACCGCGGAGCACAAAGTTGGAACTTTAAGAAGTCTGCTCTGGTGAGAGACATAGCTCAGGCTGCTAAGCGGGGGCGGGACCCTCGCTGGGACAGTGTGGTCTCAGGATCCCCGGGGTCACAGAAAGACCGGGAGTGCCTGAGTGTGGCAGAGCTCCAGGCATCGGAGCGGGGAAGCCGGCTGCAAACAACAAGCGCAGGAGTGGGCTCCCAGCTTGGGGTTGTCATAAACCGTGAACCACGGCACAGTCAGGTGACTGCTCTCCGAGCAGGGGCCCAACAAGCGGCAGAACTGGCGAGACCTCCCCCCATCCTCCCCTGGGAGGAGCGGTGCAGGAGCTCACCACAGGAGTCTGCTGGGTTTGGAGACTCCAAACGGGGTCATGCGCCAGAGATAGAAACGCTTGATCACAGGCTGGGTGAACACGAAGTGCAGACAGAGACCAGGGAGACAGGAGTGATTGCTTTTCTCTGAGGGCACATTGAGGACTGGGGCCCCGAGCTTTTGGCTCCAGGGCCAGAGATTGGGTGGCTGCCATTTTCATTCTCATCCTCTAAAGCTGCATGGAAAGCCTTCAGGGAACATGGGCCACATAGAGCAAACCAGAGATTACTTAGCCTGCCCCCCTCGCCCCCCGCAAGGGCAGCACAATTCCGCCCAGGCAGAGACACTTGAGAATCAACTCAACAGGCCCCTCCCTCAGGAGATCAGCAAGAACATCCAGTCAAGGGCGCCTGGTGGCTCAGTTGGTTAAGCGACTGCCTTCGGCTCAGGTCATGATCCTGGAGTCCCTGGATCGAGTCCCGCATCAGGCTCCCTGCTCGGCGGGGAGTCTGCTTCTCCCTCCGACCCTCCCCCCTTTCATGCTCTCTCTCTCAAATAAATAAATAAAATCTTAAAAAAAAAAAGAACATCCAGTCAAGACCAAGTTTACTGATCAATGAGAATTGCAAAACTCCAGCACATAGAATTCATGGATTTTCCCCATGATTCTTTAGTCTTTAAACATTAATTTTTTTTAATCTTTTTTCAAAAAGAAAGAGAAAGGACCCAAATAAATAAAATCATGAATGAAAGAGGAGAGGTCACAACCAACACCAAAGAAATACAAACAATTATAAGAGCATATTATGAGTAACTATATGCCAACAAATTAGGCAATCTGGAAGAAATGGACGCATTCCTAGAGATGTATAAAACAAAACTGAAACAGGAAGAAATAGAAAACCTGAACAGACTGATAACCAGCAAGAAAACTGAAGCAGTAATCAGGGGCGCCTGGGTGGCTCAGTCGTTAAGCATCTACCTCCAGCTTAGGTCATGATCCAGGGTCCTGGGATGGAGTCCCACATCGGGCTCCCTGCTCAGTGGGAAGCCTGCTTCTCCCTCTCCCACTCCCCCTGCTTGTGTTCCTTCTCTTGCTGTGTCTCTCCCTGTCAAAAAAGAAATAAAATCTTTAAAAAAAAAAGAAAATTGAGGCAGTAATCAAAAATCTCCCCACAAACAAGAGCCCAGGGCCAGATGGCTTCCCAGGGGAAATATACCAAACATTTAAAGAAGAATTATTTAAATAATTCTGAAGCTGTTCCAAAAAATAGAAATGGAAGGAAAACTTCCAAACTCTTTCTACGAGGCCAGCATTACCTTGATCCCAAACCCAGACAAAGACCCCACCAAAAAGGAGAATTATAGACGAATATCCCTGATGAACATGGATGTAAAAATTCTCACCAAAATAGTAGCCAAGAGGATCCAACAGTCCATTAAAAGGATTATTCACCACGACCAAGTGGGATTTATTCCTGGGCTGCAAGGGTGGTTCAACATCCACAAATCAATGTGATACACTACATAAATAAGAGAAAGGATGAGAATCATATGATCCTCTCAATAGATGCAGAAAAAGCATTTGAAAAAGTACAGCATCCTTTCTTGATTAAAACTCTTCACAGTTTAGGGATAGAGGGAACATACCTCAATATCATAAAAGCCATCCATGAAAAACTCACAGCAAATATCATCCTCAATGGGGAAAATCCGAGAGCTTTTCACCTAAGGTTAGGAACACGGCAGAGATGTCCACTATCATTACTGCTATTCAACATAGTACTTGAAGTCTTAGCCTCAGCAATCAGACAACAACAAAAAAATATAAGGCATCTGAATCAGCAAAGAAGCCAAACTCTAACTCTTTGCAGATGACTCAATACTCTATGTGAAAAACCCGAAAGATTCCACCCCCAAATTGCTAGAAATCATACAGGAATTCAGCAAAGTGGCAGGTTATAAAATCAATGCACAGAAATCAGTTGCATTTATATACACTAACAATGAGACAGAAGAAAGAGAAGTTAAGGAGTTGATCCCATTTACAATGGCACCCCAAACCAGAAGATACCTAGGAATAAACCTAACCAAAGAGGTAAAAGATCTGTACTCAGAAAGCTATTGAACACTTATGAAAGAAATTGAGAAGACACAAAGAAATGGAACAATGTTCCATGCTCATGGATTGGAAGAAAAAATATTGCTAAAATGTCTATGCTACCTAGAGCAATCTACATATTTAGTGCAATCCCTATCAAAATACCATCAATATTTTTCACAGAGCTGGAACAAATAATCCTAAAATTTGTATGGAACCAGAAAAGACCCCAAATAGCCAGAGGAAGGTTGAAAAAGAAAACCAAAGCTGGTGGCATCACAATTCCAGACTTCAAGCTCTATTACAAAGCTGTAATCATTAAGACAGTATGGTACTGACACAAAAACAGACACATAGATCAATGGAACAGAATAGAGAACCCAGAAATGGACGCTCAACTCTATGGTCAACTAATCTTTTTTTTTTTTTTTTAAGATTTTATTTATTTATTTATTAGAGAGCAAGTGAGAGAGAAACAGCATGAGAGAGGAGAGGGTCAGAGGGAGAAGCAGGCTTCCCGCAGAGCAGGGAGCCCAATGTGGGACTCGATCCCAGGACCCTGGGATCATGACCTGAACCGAAGGCAGTCGCCCAACCAACTGAGCCACCCAGGCGCCCTATGGTCAACTGATCTTTGACTAAGCTGAAAAAATAGCCAATGGAAAAAAGACAGTCTCTTCAACAAAAGGTGCTGGGAAAATTGGACAGCCACATGCAGAAGAATGAACCTGGACCATTTCCTTACACCATACACAAAAATAGACTCAAAATGGATGAAAGACCTCAATGTGAGACAGGAATCCATCAAAATCCTAGAGGGGAACAGAGACAGCAACCTGTGTGACCTCAGCCGCAGCAACTTCTTGCTAGACATGTCTCCAAAGGCAAGAGAAACAAAGGCAAACATGAACTATTGGGACTTCATCAAGATAAAAAGCTTTTGGGGGCACCTGGGTGGCTCAGTTGGTTAAGCAGCTGCCTTCAGCTCAGGTCATGATCCCAGGGTCCTGGGATCGAGCCCCACATCGGGCTCCCTGCTCAGCGGAGAGCCTGCTTCTCCCTCTCCCTCTGCCTGCCACTCTGCCTACTTGTGCTGTCTCTCTGTCAAATAAATAAATAAATAATATGTTTAAAAAAAAAAGATAAAAAGCTTTTGCACAGCAAAGGAAACAGTCGACAAAACCAAAACACAGCCGACAGGATGGGAGAAGATATTTGCAAATGACATATCAGAGAAAGGGTAGTATTCAAAATCTATGAAGAACTTATCAAACTCAACACCTAAAGAACAAATAATCTAATCAAGAAATGAGCAGAAGACATGAGCAGACATTTCTCCAAAGAAGACATCCAAATGGCCATAGACACATGAAAAAATGCTCCACATCACTTGGCATCAGAGAAATACAAATCAAAACCACAATGAGATACCACTTCACACTAGTCAGAATGGCTAAAATCAAGAAGTCAGGAAAGGACAGATGTTGGCGGGGATGCAGAGAAAAGGGAACCGTCCTACACTGTTGGTGGGAGTGCAAGCTGGTGCAGCCACTCTGGAAAACAGTATGGAGGTTCCTCAAAAAGTTGAAAATAGAGCTACCCTCCAACTCGGCAACTGCACTACTAGGTATTTACCCCAAAGATACAAATGTAGTGATCCGAAGGGGCACCTGCACCCCAATGTTTATAGCAGCAATGTCCACAATAGCCAAATTATGGAAAGAGCCCAGATGTCCATCAACAGATGAAAGGATACAGAAGATGTGGTATATATACACGATAGAATACTACTCAGCCATCAAAAAAAAAAAAGAAAAGAAAAGAAAAGAAATCTTGCCATGTGCAAATACGTGGATGGAACTAGAGGGTATTATGCTAAGTGAAATAAGTCAATCAGAGAAAGACAATTATCATATGATCTCACTGATAGGCGCCTGGGTGGCTCAGTCGCTAAGCGTCTGCCTTCGGCTCAGGTCTTGATCCCATGGTCCTGGGATCGAGCCCCACATCGCATGAGCCCCGCATCGCATCAGGCTCCCTGCTCCGCAGGAAGCCTGCTTCTCCCTCTCCCACTCCCCCTGCTTGTGTTTCCTCTCTCGCTGTGTCTCTCTCTGTCAAATAAATAAATAAAATCTTTAAAAAAACAAAAAAGAACATGGGTTTAAAAAAAAAAAAAAAGAGGGCGCCTGGGTGGCTGAGTTGGTTAAGCGACTGCCTTCGGCTCAGGTCATGATCCTGGAGTCCCAGGATCGAGTCCCGCATCGGGCTCCCTGCTCGGCAGGGAGTCTGCTTCTCCCTCTGACCCTTCCCCTCTCATGCTCTCTATCTCATTCTCAAATAAATAAATAAAATCTTTAAAAAAAAAAAAAGAAACAAAACAGAGGATCATAGGGGAAGAGAAGAAAAAATAAAACAAGATGAAACCAGAGAGGGAATCAAACCATAAGCGACCCTTAATCATAGGAAACAAACTGAGGGTTGCTGGAGAGGAAGGGGGGGCGGGGGTGGAGTGATGGGGTAACTGGGTGATGGACATTAAGGAAGGCATGTGATGTAATGAGCACTGTATATTATATAAGACTGATGAATCACATCCTGTACCTCGGAAACCAATAATACATTATATGGTAATTAAAAAATAAAATTAAATTTAAAATAAAATTTAAAAAGTATGTAAAAAAAGAAGTGCAATTGCCTGATTATATGGTAATTATATGTTTAGTTTCTAGTTTCTTGAGGAACAGCCATACTGCTTTTCACATTAAGATATATACTTTTAACTCTCTTAATACTACCACCATAGCAAGGAGGTTCTTGTATTTTCATTATCATTCCCATTTTACAGATGGGAAGACTAAGGCACAGAGAGGTTAAGTAACTCCTCCAAATGCGATGAACCTGGATTGTCTGGCCCTTGGACCCATCCTCTTAACCATGTCCTCTATCACCTCTCAAATTATTAAAGCAGAGACTTGGTTCAATTAATCTCCCTACCTACGGACTTCCCTATAAAAGATGACCTGGTGTTAATTCATTTAGTGATTCTTCAACTCTGTATTAAGCACTGACTATGTGCCAAGCATTGTGCTAGACATTATGTATCTTACAGTCTATCAAGGGAGAGAAGGCACCAAAATTTTTATTACGAATTATTCAATTGCAGTTAAGGACTACTAAAAGAGGCAGACCTGTGATGTTTGGGGGTGGGGAGGGCAGGGACGATCTCTGTGAGGTAGCTGAGACCTGAAGGATGAATAGGAGTTTGCCAACCTACCCAGGTGGGGAAGTGCATCTAGGCTGGCGATCAGGAAGTATAAAGGCCAAGATGTAGGAACAATTATACAATTGGTAAAGAAATGGAAAGAAGCCAGGGTGACTTTCTTAGATCACCATGGACACTAGTCTAAGACGAGGTGAAGAAGCAGCCGAGGGGTAGGAGCATAGGGAGCATGTAGTACATGTAAATCATAAAACCACAGTGTGGGTGAATGTGTGAAGTTTTTTTTGCACAGCATCTTCAGATTCCCTAAGCAGGAAAACCCTTTATGAAGCAACTACTTTATTCCAAGCACCATGCCAGGCACTAGGGATTTAGGGATTAACCATAAAAAAAAAAAAAAAAAAAAAATCTCAGTATCGTCAGTGGCTGACTAACAATAAAAAGGCATGTATTCATCCCTCCTGGGTCTGCGGGTAGGCTGTGGGTTGGTTTTACTTCAGGACAGGGATCTGTGGGGCTCAGCTCCAGGCCATGTGCTGGTAGCTCAGGTCTGCCACATGTCTCATTTGGGGACCAACAACTCCCAAAGCACAAACAGATTTAACCTCTGCTCACATCACATCTGCTAAAACTCCATCGGCCAAAGGATGTCACATGGCCAACCCCAACCTCAATAGGGAGGGGAAATCTACTTGACCTGCTCTGATGAGAAGTCTGGAAAGTCCCTCCATTAGTGTCCTGGGCTGTGGTAACAAAGTACCACTAACTGGGTGGTTTATTTATTTTTTTAAAGATTTTATTTATTTATTTGACAGAAAGAGACACAGCGAGAGAGGGAACACAAGCAGGGGGAGTGGGAGAGGGAGAAGCAGGCTTCCTGCTGAGCAGAGAGCCCGATGCTGGGCTCGATACCAGGACCCTGGGATCATGACCTGAGCCAAAGGCAGATGCTTAATGACTGAGCCACCCAGGCGCCCCTAACTGATGTTTAAAACAACAGAAATCCAATCCCAAGGTTCAGGAGGCTGGAAGTCCAAATTCTTGGGTATCAGCAGGGTTTATTCCTTCTGGAGGCACTTAGGAAGAATCTGTTCCATGCCTCACTCCTAACTTTTGGTGGTTGCTGTCAATCCTTGGCGTTCCTTGGCTTATGGAGGTGTCACTCCAATCTCTGCCTCTGTTGTCACATGGTCTTCTTCCCTCAATGTCTCCTCTGTGTCTCTGTGTCCAAATGTTCCTCTTCTTATAAGGTCATCAGTCTTTGGATGAAGGCCCCCTCCTCAACCCCACTCAATCTAGTATAACATAATTTTGACTTGATTACATCTGCAAAGGCCCTATTTTCAGATACAGTCACATTCACAATTCTGGATGGACATGAATTTGGGGGGAACACTCTTCAACTCAGTACA